ATTCTGCGCGCTTTCCTCATATTGATATCATATGTTTAATCCGTACCTGATATAATTTTCTGAGTGATGTCCCAGTTCGTCCGCTTCCTCCATATCTCCGTCGGTGTTGTTTAAAATTATCATTATCATTATTATCATCATTGTTATTATTATTAGTAGTAGTAGTGTTATTTTTTTTTATGATTATTATTATCGTTATCATTATTATTAATATTTATAACATCATCTTTAAACTAATTGGATAATAAACCGGCGAGGTTACACGCACAAGAGTTGGTCTTTTACTTCATGATCGCAAGGGTACGTTATAATTTACCTACATTTAAGAAAAAAGCGATGCATCTTGTTTTGTACAATGTAACCATGTGTTAGCTGTATTCCCTGGAGGAATATGCTACAAGAGGCACGGGCGAAAGGTACAAGATTTTGAGTTGTTTATACCATAGTGAAATAAAGAGAGAAAACCAGTTAAAGTTTCTTTCCATTGGTATAGTCCTTTGCTTTATTCACTTCTGCACTAAGCAGTTTTCATTGAAAGGAAGGATGAATCAGGTTCTCAAGAAGATGAGTTTGTGTTATGACTTGCCAAATCTCTTTTTCAAAGCAATTACTGCATCTCTCTCACTGCATAAAGTTGCGATTCATTCTTTTCATATATTCACTGCTTTAGCAGTTGTACATTTATCATTGTACCTTGTCCAAAGCCACAGCTATTGGTTCTAGTAGTACAAGTAGGTCCTTTGCTGACCACTTCAATGTTAAGTTAGATACTAACTCTGACATCAATCTCCACCCTATCAACTTTACTTACCAGTTTTGATGAGAGCTGGCTTGTTCTTTATGTACATCTTCAGACAGTTACACATAGTATTCCATTTTGTGTCTTGTTACCACCTTTTTGGTGGTAACTTGCAGAAGCATAGTGATTGTTTCTAAAGTATTTTACTATATACACCACAAGCCCTTGAATATTGCCAATTGCCAGCACAGCCATAAGTCACCAGCGTCAGTTCATTTCCGTTCCAATAGTTTTTGTTTACATTAGCTTCGTTATCCGTCACAATACTATCAACACGGCAACCAAGTTTCTTTATACTTCTGAATTGCTGATTTTGAGAGGTCTTCTAGATATTTAACTGAGGCTGGCCACTTGTCTATTGTACCCACTAGATATATATGGCCTGTGACAGCCTGACAGCTGAGGCTGTCACAGTAACACATACATTGGGCTCAGTGCGAAGTTAGACCACCCCTCTAAAGACGGACAGTTTCATCCTTCAGTTCAGAGGCATATATTGCATATTCTTTTCCAGGAATTTGCAATTGCTTTTCTTGTTGGAGGAGTGTATCCTGGCCTCAACTTCCCAACCATTTTACAAAACTGAGGATGTTCTACCAATCTAAATGAAGAGTGAATTGGTGAGTCAAAGGGTTAAGGTCGGGTGTTAGATTAGATAAAGGATATGTATGCGTTTGAGGAAAGAGGACAGGTTGTTGATGCAGAAAGTGTGGGATTCTTTAAGGATGTCTGATAGGTTGGGAGGTCGGTGAAGGGAGGATAGGTGGGGGAAAGCAGAGGTACGGGCTGCTTCAAAACGTGGGCACGACAATAGGATGTGTACGATTGAAAGGGGGACATTACATAAGGAACATAGGGGTGGATCAGATTGTGACATCAGTAGACTGAAATCACTGTGATCCAACGATGAAGGAAGATACGAATAGCTGTGCAAGGGACATTGGTTTGAAAGGGTGGAGTGACATAAGGTGTTTTCTGATCGATAAGTATGGACGAGACATAAAGGGAATGTGGGGAAGAGACAAAATGATAATTGGGGATTGGTATTGGATGTGTAAGAAAGGTTTCTTGAAGGCATACAATAGATGGGTTATAAGAGGAAAGGATATGACGAAGATCAGGTCTGTGGGAGCGAAAATCGCGAATATTCCAATGAAGGATAGTTATACTTTCGTTGATTTAGTGTTATAGATTGCAGTACGTGTTGGATATTTTGAGGGGGAAGCAGCTAGAGGGTGGGATAAGGACTGAGAGGTTTGAGATGGGAGATATGTGGGAGTTGGTGTTCTATCAGGAGGGTTATTAGGAGATGGAGGGTCTGAGGAAGGGGATACTTGCTGACATAAGGGATTCACGTGTGTATCCAGGAGGGAGTGGAAGGGATAGAGGGGATGGTGGGAGGGTTAATGTGGGCGGGGTTGGGGTCGGGGTCGGGGGGGATGGGCTGTGTTGGGAGGGGGTAGGAGGATAGGGTGTAGGGGGGATATCGTTAGGAGGAGGATGGATATCAGCAGTTACTTGGAGTGTGGAAGGAGCAGGGGTTGTAGGTTGAGTGTCAGTTTGCATTAAGTAATCTTGAATATTTTCAATAGTTTCTTCTAAGGAGTTGGTTGGGGAGTTTTGGGGGATAAAGGATTTCTTGTGAGGGGGAGAAGAGAGGACAGGTGTCTCAAGAGTGGGGGCAAAGGATGGTGGAGGTGATTGTGTGGTAGGGGAAGAGGGGGTGGAACGTTTGTTCTGTCTGTTACGGGGAGTGCGAGGAGGGAGAGGGGAAGGTGTTGGGGTTGTAGTGGTGATTGGAGTATCTGTAGTAGAGATTGGAGTTTCTGGATTTAGGATGGCAAAAGAGTTTGACTGGGGAAGGTAGGTGGGGTTAGTGGGGAGGTTAGATGTAGGAGGGGTGGGTTTAGGAGAAGTGTTAGAATGAGCAGTATTACTGGAGTAAGGAGTAAGAGAGAATCCACGTCGACGTGCTTCCTGTCTGGCTTCACGCAGTGTGAGTCCGAGTTTGAATGAGAGAGTTGCTACCTCAGATTCAAATTTGTAGGTGGGACAGCCCCTATAAAATACATTATGGGGGCCGCCACAGTTGGCACATGTGCGTGATTGTGCAGAGCAGTTAGATCGGGTATGGCCAGGTTGGGCACATAATGGGCATCTGGCTGTGGAACGGCAGTGTTTGGCTGGGTGTCCTAGACGCCAACAATTTTGGCACTGACGTGGAGGAGGTTGGTATGGACGAACAGGGAGGGATTCTCCTCCTATGTAGACGTTAAAGGGAAGGTCATGTCTTCGGAAGGTAATTTTGGCTATGTTAGTGGGTTTCTTTCGATGACCTCTGGGGGGGATGGAGTAGCATTGTACTGATGTTGCATCGTAGTCTGAGACAGGCAAGTAGATCTTCTCCACAATCTGACCAATCTTTGTCATAGATTGGGCAATTTGCTGGTGAGATTGAGATTGTTCCGGTGCAAGTATTGAGGGTTGGATGGGGTTCTGCTAGGATGGGGTTACCATATAGGTCAGTTAGTTTTGTTAATGCTATGGCTTGGTTTTCGGATGTTACTGTTACAAGACGGGAGCGGTCGGGTCGGCTACGGAAAGAGACTTTACCTACTTGTTTTTGGAGGCATTGTTGGAAGAGAAGGGTGTTGTCAGAGTAGGGAGCTGTGGGAGGGATCACGAAAAATCGGTCCCATTTGGCTGCACTGAAGAGAGTATTCAAGATTGTTTTAGAGATAGGGGTGGTAGAAGGGCGAGGGCGTGACGAAGATGGAGTAGTGTTGATGGAGGTAGTGTTATGGAGAGGGGGGCTATAAGGCTGTAAGGTATTAATAAGGGAGGATGGGGTGGTTGATGTTGGAGGTTGTGGGGGTAGAGGTGTTGAAGTTGGGCATGCTGGGAGAGTGGAAATGTTCCTTGAGGGTTGATTGTTGGCTACTGTACTAGTAGGCATTGGTGAAGGGGCAGTTATTGCAGTATTCGGAGCCGTGGTCAAAGGAGAGCCTGGGGTCGGGGAATCGGGTGGGTTTATTTCTTTGGGGCTATTTGATAAAGGGGCAAGCCTCATTGCCCCTAACAGTGGAGATATATTTTCATTACTGGCCATGGTAAGCCTGGTTATGTTGGGGATAAAAACAGTCCACCCCTCAGGGTCCCCTTGAGGGGTAAGGGCTAGATACTAAATCAGGGGAATACCGTGCCCATGGTTCCCTCAGGCCGTTCAGGACTGGCACAAAGTCAGCCTTTCATCCTTTCAGCACGGCTCTCACACCTTAGGAGGTGGATAGGCAGAAGGGTTTGGTGAAGGGACAGAAACAAAAGTGGGAAGGGAAAAAAAGACCATGCACAATTAGTTGAGTCGAGGGCTGAGTCCCAAGGTTGGGGAGTTCCCCATCATTGGGTCCCAGTCTCCGCCTCCTAAGCCCCCCCACGACAACAACGGGCAAGGGATTGGGGGGGTCCTCACTCATTAAGCCTTGTGGTCTGTGGCATATCTCTACTCTTGCAGTTAGCTCAGGAACGAGTGGCTGTAACACCCAACTACACAGTGGCACAAGAACAGCCATGCCATAGCATGATGAATACAGGATCAGGAGTCAGGACACAGAAATACTACAATCCTGGCCAGTGGCTACTGGGCTGCTTGGCAGGTTCAAACTCTTGCAACTAAGTGAGATGATGCAACATGCTGTAATAATACTCCAAAATGTCTTACCTAATGTATAGAATATATAATAGCCCTCAAAGTATTTTCATGCTGATAAAAAACACCAATGCTGACATATATATGTATACATACATACATACAAATACACATTTATATACATGTACATATATATATATATGCATATATATATATATATATATACATACATATACACATATATGTATATAAATATATATACACATCTATATATATAAAAATTTGTGTATTTACATAAGTATATGTGTATGATTGGACTAAAACGTTACTTTTTCAGTTCAGTTATGAAAGTTCATACATCTCCTTGTCCAAACTCTCACTTTATCTGACAATGAGGGATTTTAAGTATTGGAAATAAAACTCAATCTACTCAGACAAGTACTGTTTTGTCAAAATTTATAGTAAATATGTTTGGGCCAATGTTTAAATTTGAGTTCTATTGTAGCATTTATAACAAATTGCAATGGCTTTCAAGCAAAAGGATACAAAAGTGCGTTTTATAAGAGAAAGGTTCAATTTTTATTGTTACAGAAAGTAAAACATTCAGAGGTGAATAT